GGATACTGTAGGACAGGAAGTCATAGGTTTACGGCGAAGAGTGAAGGTAATTTGATGGGATTTATTGGAATTTATTTTAATCCTCCAGTTTTGACACCATTCTTCAAGGTTTGTGATGTGTGATTGAAGGGTTTGGGATGCAATTGTTGGATCATTATTAACTGACAGGATACCTATCAAATTATTGTGTGAATTACGTAATGAACCTATTGATTGGCGGAACTACTTGCGAATGGAAATTGAAACATATGCTTATTTATTGGAATTAGTGCCTTGGTGTATCCTGATCATTAAGGAAATTTCTTCTTCTTACTCTACCTCCTTTTTGCCTTTCAGCGTGGCTGTGCCTCGATCCATGCACCCCAAGCATTTCGGTCCCGAGCTAGAGCCCTCATATATCCTATCCTCATACCTCTTTTCTGCCCGATCTGGGAGATGTACTCCATCCACGACAATCTGGGTCTTCCTCTTGGGCGCTTTCCTACAGGTCTCGCCTCCATGAATTTTCGTGGGTCCCGGTCTTCGGTCATTCGAGATACATGCCCGAACCATCTCAGCTGCCTATTTTCTATAGAATCCTTTAGGGAGAAAGTGCCTAGGTCGTCTCTTGTTTTTTCATTCCTGATCCGGTCTCTCCTAGTTCTGCCAGCTACCCTTCGAAGATATTTCATTTCACTAGCAGTAACTCTGCTAAGGTGTTTGGTTAATGGGACCCAGCTTTCACTCCCATATATAAGGGTTGGTAGATATACCGCTTTGAAAAAATGCATTTTTATATTCCTCTCTACCTCCCTTTTCCCACTGACTGTATTGCATAATCTGTAATACTCATCATTGGCCTTTTTAATCCTGTTGGAAATTTCATGGCCTTTCGTTCTTGTTTATTACTGCACCTAGATATGTGTAATCCTCCACCATGCCCAGTATCTCTCCATTGCAATAAATTTCAAAAACCTCCCGATCCCGTCCAATCTGCATTAGTTTGCTCTTTCCGACATTAATTGCCATACCCTTTCTTGCTAATTCAGTCTCCCATTCGATCAACGCTTGCTGCAGATTTTCCTTTGTGTCAGATATGAGAACGATGTCATCTACAAAGACTATTATTTGCGTCAATATCGGGAAATTAAATAAATCAAATCATCAGAGAGATGGCTTGTATATTTCGTCTTCTTCAGCCCCAGATCGAATCGATTTATTTATTTTACCCAACTCTTTTCGGTACAAACTTCTCATTGAATTTATTTTTTTCACAACTGTCTCCCGGTTTGCCGTTGCATCAATTTCTTTAAATGTATTTATTAAAATTGCATACGCCTCCCCTTTCTTATCCCTATCGCAGTATTCTTTTGATTTAACACTTCAAATGCACGGGAAACTTTCATACTGAGCAATAACATCAGTTAAAAACTCCCTAGAACAATGCCGAAGGTCAGCATTGCCGTCTGACGAATGAAACTGAGTAACGAAATGAATCGGAAAATGGTGCTACCGTCCACATGCGCCGAGTTGTCTGCGCAGTTCAAGGAAATCTATGCTCTCTGGCTCAGTTTTACTAAAACTGTTCCATCTTCGAAATGGATTCAAAACTGCACAGTTCTCTAATCCACACGCAACGTTTTGAACTGCGCAGACAAAATGTTGTGCAAAACGGAGCGTCTGGACCAGCCTTAACACATTCCTGGAATTAAAATTTTGTTGCAAAACTTAAATAATGAAAATACAATTGAGGCTTAATATACAAATCGAATTAAGTCCCAAATAATCAACTAAGGGGTATCCAGATACAGATCTTCTCATGAGCATTCAATTCTTTAATAATGGCTTCCGACCACTTCAGAGATTGGCTAGCATTTTCATAATTTGGCGGAACTTCTTCTGGCAAGCTGAGCATTAAATAAGCATTATATAAAAGACTAGCTGATGTGCCCGTCGTTGACGGGTGTATAGTTGAAATTTGAGAATCTTTTTTTGAGATGGATTTTGTATTATGGGGGGGGGAGGGTCAAAATTGAATTTCATAAAATTGGGTCGGGAGAGGAGAGATGACTTGTTTTGAAATCTTTTATGGCGGACCTTATTCAATTCAAGGCTTCGCAATAGTCATAACACACACTTTGTTATTCGGCTCACAACGGACCACCACCGATCCATTAAAATTTGTTAAGTTTTATTTATGATGAAGCGAGGAGATTGTCGATTAATTAATCAAGAAGAGTTATAGTCTCTCCACTTCTTTAAACTCTGCTGAGGTTATCGCTTGTAAAAAAACCAAAATAACATTGGACATTGAGTCATCTACATCCGTGTAAAATTAGAACTTGATCTGAATATTGTGGAGGACGGGATCAAATGTTTGGGATTTTTCCTGAAATCCGGTTAATCCGTTTGGTTAATCCTATAAATGTATAAGACAACATTTGTTAGGCTAGTGAAGTTGAATCGAATGACACCTTGAACGGGAAGATCGGACAAAGTTGAAAAATGAGTGTGTTTTATCCGTTTTATGCGACAAGGCGTTTACAGATGGTCGGTATTCCGGATTTTCCAGTTGAGTTGTGATATTTTTTTTTCATCAGTTGAGTAGTACAACTTTTAAATTTGGCTCGTGGTAGAGTAGGTTGGGATGAGAATCGAAGTAAGTAACTGCCTAAACGGGATCTCTAGACAAATTACTCAAAAATTCATAACTTTGGTTCTACACAATATTATGTTTTTATTTAAAGTCCATATTTTAAGTCAAGCAAACCTAAAATAAAGCAAAAATTTCAAAAGTCTACCATTAGCCATTGCCGAGTTTACCCCCGTCAAAATTTCGTTGGATAATGCGGACATCCAGACAGACAAAACATTTTTTAAAAGTGGATTTGGTGTCTGGAATATCTAAAACGGAAAGAAAAAATGAAACGAGTTGATTCTATTCAATGTACAGACAAAACCTTTATTTTATTTATGTAGATGTTCTTTAACCTATAAACATATGTTTATTATTAAAATTTATTGTCAACATTAACCGAGATCTTTAGACAAATTACTAAAGAATTCATATCTTTGGTTCTACTCAATATTTTGTTTTCATTTAAAGCCTATGTTTTAAGATAAGCGAACCTTAATATAATGTCAAAGTTTCAAAAGTCTGCAATAAGCCATTGCTGAGCTTACCCATAACAAAATTTCGTTGCATTCCGGACATACAGACAGACAACAAAATTTTTAAAAGTGGATTTGGTGTCTGCAATGTATGAAACGGGAAGATATCATAAAACGGGCTGATTCTATTCAACGTACAGACAAAAACTTTATTTTATTTATAAAGATAATCACTTAAGTATTTCGGAATAGATCGATTTCTCTGAGACCTCGATGAATTCTCTAGCTGTATTCAATTTTCTTTACTCTCCACTTTCTTCTCTTCTTCGAAAAAATGTTGTTGTTGTTGAGAACTTTAACATTTCACATCTTTACAGACAGGGTATTTTGTAGAATAGCTGTTAGTTTTTAGTAATTACATTGATACATAATAGCACGAAACAACTCTTTACATACAGGGTGTCCCGTTAGTAGAGAGAAATTTTTATAGGAACGATATTACACCTCGAGAGTTATAAAAATGTTTTTCTAAACAATGGACCAATATTCAGCAGAAAAGTAGGAAATCCAAGTGATGTGTTTTTAAAGTAAGTCATGTTGTTTGTTGAATAACAACCGATAGCTAACAAGAAATATTTAATTTAAATTATTACCAATTGCTTCACTGTAAACAAGACAAAAATTGCTTTAAATAAAAATAGAATATATTACTGTTATTTAAAGAGGACATTTGAGCGGTTAAACAAAGCTAAGTTCTGTTTTTTTTTAAATCATTAATTGTTTGCGATTTTTTACATTCCTAGCTCTTTTAGATAAGCAAAGTGTTGGGATCGGGTCAAATTTCCGATATGGGGGTTTCGACGGATCTATACGTTTCACAGCCCTCTCAGTCCGAAAAACACATTTTAAGCCATTGGTCTGTCTGTGCCAAGATTTTCTAGGGAACTAGTGAACCGATTTTGTTGCTTATTTTTTTATTTTGTAGGGTTTTGACTACTGATGACTGTGCCACAAATTTGGTGCTCCATGCGCAATAGCGGCTGCGCAATAAATGAAAAACATGTTTTTCTATAGACTAGCGCGAAAACGGCTCTAATGATTTTGATGAAACTTTCCTATAATGTTCTAATAATTGTCTTTTCAATTATCGTACGTGCACTGAATTCCCGAGAAATTAAGAAAAAAAGTTATAAAAAGAAGAAAAATGTTTTGGGGCCTAACTAAGTATATATTCTAAGGTTAAATTTATAATAAAACTTTTGAAAGGTGATTAAATTAGCAATAACAAAACAAAAAACATGGGAATCGAACCAGTATTAGCGATGATACAGCGTATCCTATTTTCTACACATGTTTTAATTTATTATTTTCCTACCTATACTAGGTTAAGTATTGCGATCGGGTCAAATTTCCGATATGCGGTTTTCGACGGATCTATACGTTTCAGAGCCCCGTGAGTTCAAAAAACACATTTTTAGACATTGGTCTGTCTGTATTTTATTTTGAAATGTATTTTCAAGGTAAATTCTCTACAAAATTATGTAAAAATCGTTCATTTCGGATTACTATTAACGAAGTTACAGCTAATCAATTTAGTATGTAAGAATACGGGTCTAAGCGGTGAATGAGAGAAAAAAAAGAAAAGAAATCCGCATCACACAAGATTTTTATCGACTTTTAACAGAAATTATTGTTTGATAAAATTGGGCTAATGTAAAAAAGTTTTTTCTTGTTTCTTAATGGACATATTTAAAGATATAAAAACTTTTCTGAAGTAGATAGGAAAGTCGTGTAGGTGGACACACCAGATTTTTTACCGTGTAGTTTTCAAACAGCTCGAACAACTAAATTTTTTCAGACTAAAGATTTTCTTACTTATAAACATATGATCATTATGAATCTCATGTAATGTTTTTATTAATATTATATACCAATATAGTTACTAAAAACTAAGTGGTGTACATATTCTATTATATCTTTTATAAAACATTATGTGCGAATTCCCGTTTAACAAAAAAACATATACAAAAATATATAAGGCAGTTGGAAATTGGTTAATAACTGTGACATGTCAGTTAAAGAAAAGTTCAGAGAGGGGAAAACATTAGTAACAATAAGAAAATACAGTGTGAGTGTTGGATTTGTGTTAAATATTTACTTATGAGTCTTAAATACCTTCCACGTGAAGTCGGTTCTAGAAGAATCTAGATTTGAAATTATGCCTTGAGAATAGCGAGTGCTATCGTGAAGGGGGAGGACTTAATGGCCCAGTTGCGTGGTCAAGATAGGTTCAAAGACTCGTTTCAAGTTCGATCGGCGCAGCCATGGCTTGCCCAGCGGTCAGTCGTGCCTCAGGCATGGAGGATGGCGGTGGTCGACCAATTCAACACCGGAGCGCCGGACTACGGCACCAACCAGCTGCAAGAAGAGGAGGCGCCTAAGATACAGAAGCAGTCTTACAGCCTGCCTTCCCCCGATGAGTCCTTCATCAGCAGCCTCGACGCCAAGCTCAAGAACCTCGAGAAGGAGAAGAAGAAGAACAAGAACAAGAAGAACATGCGGTCTGTCTCCTTCGAGAACAGGCCGATGTTCATCACCACGGTCAAGACCGGTATCTTCCTCGACCCTCCGCCGGAGCTGGCCGCCCTCTTGGGATACTCGAAGAGTTCCAACGCTTCTTCCGGCAGCACGGGCTCCCAGAAGTCGGCCGTGGACGTCATGTACTCCTTTTCCAGCCAGCCGAGAGTTCTGAACAACAACAGGCCCAAGCCTAAGGTGAGCAACGAGCGGCACCACGAGGTTAACTTCGAGAAGCAGAAGTCCAAGAACAACCTAAGGGAGAAGAGCGTAGCGTCCGTAATTAACAAGAGGCTTTCCGAGCAAGTTATTAAGAAGTGAGTAATTAATTTCCTTTAAATATTTTTGTTAATTTAGTTATGATAAATAAAAATACATTGATCAATTTAACTTCTCTTAATCTATATTGCTGTTCATTGTTCAAAAAAGATCTCGCCCTATTAAGCGGAATGTTACAAAAAAAAATGTGGTGTTTCCACTCACATGACTTTTGTACCTATTTCAGAAAAGTTTTTATATCTATATATAGGTTCTTGAAGAAACAAAAAAAAAAATTGATTCAGATTTATTTTCCTGAAAATTGATCAAAGAAAAGATTTGAGTACGATTCCGGAGGTGGTGGTGATTGCAGTGTTGAAATATAGAACTGGGAATAAAGGTATAAAATTAGATACTTATTTCTTATGAAAGATGTTCTTAGGAAAGATACTTTATTAAATGTATGTAGAAAAAAGGTTTTTTAGTCTCAACAATTAAAAAAGTATATTTTAAATTTATCCAAATTTTCGCCTCTTCAGGGGAAAAAAAAACATATATTTCCTTCTAATTGTCCGATTTTAACGATTTTTTTTTGTTTTTTTAGGAAATTCCACAGACTTCTAAAAAAACATATACAATATCAATAAAAAAGTTTGAGTTATTCGGAATTTAATTTAATATTCCACGTAAATTTTGTTCAGCTTCTTTTCGTTGAAGTATGTTATATAGATAAATTTAAAGGATATTGAGAAAATGACTTTAGCAAAGTTTCATTGAAATCAGTAAATTCGTTTAGGCGCTACAGTCTATAGTAACGCAGGTTTTTCTGCATTTTTATTTTTTTTCTCCTTTATTAACTTATCAACTTCTTTCAAAAGTTATATTTAGCATTTTTTCGTAACTCTGAATAATGCGAAATGGTTAGCTTTTTAAAAAAATCATATTAAAGGTACTTTAGAGGAAGACATATATGAACATTGGGCATTTAAGCCCTGTAAAGTGACATCAACGGGGATAAGACCTAAATCATATTAAAGACAACTTAATTATACAATGATACACCGAGTTTGATCAAAATCGTTCGAGCCGTTTTTGAGAAAATTGTAAAAATGTGTTTCAGCGTTCATATAAAGTGACACTTCCGGTAAGCTGATTTTAACAAAAAAAGTTGCTGTCACATCCAGCTCATATAAAAACCTTAAATACTTAATATCAGTTTCGTAGTACTTTTCATTTATGAGCTAGACTGTTAACACAGACCATTTTTCGGGACTTGGTGATATGGACTCAGGGTACCTCAAAACGTGTATTTCCGTTAAAAACTCACACTCGAAAATTTTCACGATCGCAATACTTAACCTACAATATTACATATTTACGTAAGTGAAAGTAAAAACTGGTAAAAACCACTCACACGACTTTCCTACCTATTTCAGAAAAGTTTTTATATCTTTACATATGTTCATCGAAGAACAAAAAAAAACAGAGGGCTCTGAAACGTATAGATCAGTCGAAATCGCATATCGGAAATTTGACCCGACATCAATACTTTCCGTACCTAGTATAGGTAGGAAAGTAAAAATAGATGTGAATAAAATGGCATATTGAATAGTGTTTTTTATTTAACTTAGCTGCGTACGAAATGTATAGTAAATGTGCATTATGGGAATCGTAAAAATTTAGATAATCGTGAGAGTTTATGGGGACAGCCTAGTTTAAGAAAAAAAATTCATACGAAAGTAAAAAGATAGTTGAATTCCGGAAGTCCTACCAATTTTACGCAGAGATTAAAGAACTTAATCTCAAGAAGTTTTGAGTTTATTTTTCATTAAGTGGTGTTAAATAAAAAGCAATAACTTAAATAATATCTAATTTAGGTAATTAAATATTGCTCCAAAGTAAACTAGACAAACTTAATTTCAAATAAATGTTTTTTTTTTTTGTTTTTTTTTAAAGATATTCTTATTGAGAAATAATACATTTTGCCACACTTAAGGGCACTGAATACTAAAGCTGAGTGAAGAACATTCATACCATATAAACTATACAATAAATAAACAACAAAAAAAAAAAAATATATATATATATATAACGAAGGCAAAAACTATAAAAAAAAAACCAAGGAAATTTAACTTGAAGTTAAAATTAAATAAAATACAGAAATTTGTAGCAAAATTAGATTAACTATAATTAAAAGAAATAAATAGATTAAAAATAAAAGCATTCATACTTAATTTCAATATTTACAATTAGCCAAGGAAACTTTCCACCACGTGTGAAGGACAAAGCGAGGTTCTGGGTTGTCCATACTTCCCCAACCGTACACCCCTCCCCACATTTCTATAAATTGCATATCCTTGAAACTATTCATTAAAAAAAAATTAATGTTCCCACAAAAAAAAAATGAACGCACTGCCCCAAAATGGCGACCAAACATGGCGGATTGACGACTTTGACTTTAGTTAGTTTTTTGGACACTGAGAATCAGCATTAGGCTTAATTTCATCATAGTTGGTCTTTTATTAAACCTGGATAGTCAGAAAATAATAAAACATGAAAAATAATTGGCTTAGGTAATAAAAAAGACCAGTAAAGTCAACTTTTATCGGTACTGACCAGTACCGTCAGCTTAAGAGCCTACAGGCGTCTACCACACCATTCAGCACTCATAAATGGCTTAATTATAGTGCTATTGGTACATTATATTGATTGTATTAACGAACAAATATTAATGCAATAATTTAATTGTCCAAAAAAATTAAACATATTTTTTTAAATGTATTATATTATTTATTTTTAATTTAATGATCACTGATATTTCCTGATTCTTAGAGTTAATTTAAATAGTACATACCTCTCCGGAAATGAGTCATATTAATACCTGTTTTATAAACTAAGATAATATCTACCTAATCTGAGCTACATACAATAAATAGTTGATGGGTTGTTTATTAAAACTCATATATCACTATTTAAAAAATTAATTTTTATTTATTTTATTTTGTTCGAAAGTTGGTCCATATCATACAAAGTAGGAAATTTTAAATTATTTTCCAATTTTTGGGTTCAATTTTCCGTTTTTCATCATTTTGAGACCAAATACTTGTTTTGTTTTGAGGGTTAATGCAACGATTATAAAATGGATTTGGTAGGTTTGAATGAGTTTTTATTTATTTCATCTCTAATTCTAAAGCCCATTAGTGAATTAAATCACAATTTTATATTCTAATATAGCTTTCTGCTTTTCTTAAATATTTTTTGATTTTGCTGATTAATCCACTGTCGTTTTTATCTTTATGTTTTCCATTCGATCAGTATAGTTAGTACATCATAAATATAACTCGTTTACTGTTTAAGTGTCTTGGTAATGGGTTTATTTCGTGGCTTCCAATCTTTGTAGTATGTAATACATCGCCGTGTTCTAATCCATAGGTGGCAGAGAACGAAATTTTCCCGTCTTAAGTTTGGAGTTTTCCATCGAAAAAACTTTTTCTTAAGTTTTCCGAACCCTTATTTTATTTATCATTCCTATTTTTTCTTATTAAATGGCAAATTGATGTGCCTATTCTACTCTGGGAATATACGCAATTATTAGGGCTTGGATAGCACCTTTATGTAAAGCCAGGTTTGCAGAAAAATCGGCTCTTTAGTTACAATGGGCATTATTAGTAATATCTTTTTATTTTCTCCCATTTTTCTTCTGTTACATTACAGACCTGATTACATTACAGATATTTAGCCGCCTTAACAAGTCCACTTTATCTATTCCTATCTTAAGCTATTTCTTTTCAGTTATCTGGACGCAGCTCTGTTTCAACCTTGTTGCTTTGATCTACCCATCTGTTCTGTTGTGTAGAGACTTACTGATGAATTGCTCCGAACTATATGCCTAGTGTGGCCCAAATGCGAGACCAAGACGAGTATTGGTCTTATTCAAGAGTCTCGCAAGAGTCTTGCAGTTATCTATTAGCTTGCTCTGGTAGAGATATTACTTTAATTTTGTATCTCCTCAATAAGAAATTAGAGGAGTTAAATGCAAAATTATATTAGTTTCATAGTTTTTCAACATTCAAAAAATTGATTTTTTTTTTTACCAATTTTGGTCTTGGTCTCCGACAGCTGAGTGGTCTTGAGCAACACTATACATACCCTTTCATCTTAATCAAATTTCTTATACAAATATTCATGTTTCAATTAAAATTAATTAATTTTACTGCACCATTACAAAAAAAAAATTCTGGTGCACGCAACACAAAACTTTTACTTACCGTTCAACTTTAAAAACAGAAATTATTTTCTGGCCATGTTGGGCTATTATAATATTTTTGGATTGCGTTTTAACTGAGCTCAAGCTAAAAAAATACAGCTAACAAATCATAAACACCATTAAAATAACAAAAGTTTTATTTATTATACCATCGGTTGATTATGGATTGTACGACTATTAGTTATCAACCTATTATTTTCCATTGTAAAGTTTATTAAAACGGAATTAAGAGATTTGCATTGTCTGTCAGAGACAGATCAAAAGTTGTCACACTAATAGTAAGTGGATTCTGTTGGAACATCACAAAAGAAAATTTCATCAAACTATTCACTAATTTGTTTTTCTAAAAGGTTACATGATGATTTTTCGGAATAAACGGACGATAGATACCTAAATATTTAAATATAATATCAGATCAAGAGTTATTAAAATACAGTAAACATATTTAAGGTTATAAACGTATCTATGAAATATTTTTATAATTCACTTCTTCTTTCACACAAGTATAATGAAATAGTAGTGGGTACTGTTGTAATATCACAAAAGGAAATTTCATCAAACTATTCACTAATTTATTTTCTAAAAGGTTACTTGATGATTTTTTGGAATAAACGGACGATAGATACGTAATATTCAAATATAATATCAGATCTAGAATTATTAAACTACAGTAAATGAATTTAAGGTTATAAACATATGCTTTATACATCCATGAAATGATTTTATATTTTACTTCTTCTTTCACACAAGTACAAAGAAATAGTTTTTTTAAACAATGTCATTGCCTTGATT